ACCCTCCACTTACCAGTATCTGAGATTGGTCTGTGCCTGGAATGATCATCCCTCTTCCCTCTCTTTTCCTGTTTCCCTCTCATTACGGGCCTCTGTGTATGGCTGGGTAGGTTGCACACTGCACAAGCATGCCCAGCCATGGGAATGAGTGCAATCTGAAATCCAGGTCCCACTACTCACCACGCCCCACATCTACTGAGCTAATACACCTAAATGGGGGTCCCTTTTTCTAATTATCACAGAGGCTCCCTATGGCTTGGCAGAGGGCCTGCTTTCACCATGGCTGAGCACAGAGGTAGGCCCATGGTGGAGATAAAGAGGTCTATAAGGATAACAAAAGCCTCAACTTCCCCAGCTGGCTCGTGTGGTAGAAAAAGGGGATCAGGCAGAAGCCCTGAGTTCAGGGCTAGACCTAGACGTGGGACAGCAGGCAGAACTGGTTACCTGGGGAAGGGTCTGCCCAGCTTGAGCCTGGGGGTACCAGAGGGAGAGCAGCAGTGTGGGCAATGGCAATGAGATCTGTGGAGCAAGGGCCTGAAAGGAAGCCCTGTGCACTGTGGCTGGGTCCTCCCTGCCCAGGAGGACCTTCCTGCCTGTGTACCCTCCTGCTGTGTGGAGAAGAGGAATCAAGGCTTCATCTTCTAGGGTGATCTCAGAGCCCTGGAACCCTCTGCTGGGACAGCCCAGTGTCTCATGCTTGCTTTCTCCCAGGAAATCCCAGAATGTGGGCAGTGGGAAAGAAACTGGTCACCTGGGCTTGTCCATGGGGTGGAGGGGAGAATGTCCATTCTGTACAACTTCTTGGCCAGAGCAGAGCTGGCTTCTTCCCAAAGCATAACTGTGCTCATAGGTAGAACAGGTCTCGTGTAGGGAGTCAGGTTCCCACCCTCCCCACTTCCAACTCTGAGACCTTTCACTCAGGTATGCTGTGCAGGGTCTGGGCTCCTGTCCAGCCCCCAGAGTTCAGAACCAACACTCCAGCCCCTCTCAGCCTGCATCTCCTCACAAGACTAGATCCTGCTCAACCCCATACCCCCAGGCCCAGGGACTCAGGAAACTGTTCTTGGAGTCACTTGACCATTTTCCTGTGGACCTCACTGCAAACCGGGAGCCACACCCACCCCCCCAGAGATTCCCTCCAGGACCCTGTCTGGGAGAACTTCAGGCCCTTTCTGTCCCCCTTGAGGTCTCCATCTGCCCCTCAGCTTGGTTTGTTCATTCCATGCGCAAACATTTGGCTGATGGCTTGTGGATGCATATCTTGGGCCATGGAATAGGCAGTATGGCACAGACACAGAACAACACCTTGGGGACGTGGTGAGCTTGCTCCTAGGAGAAGCACAAGCAGGTGCTGAAGGATGAGAGGAGGAAGAGAAACTTCAGGCAAGGCATCAGAGGAGGTGCTATTTGATTTGAGTTTGAAAGGTGGTTAGCATCTCTTTAGGCAAAGAAGGGGAAGCTCCCCGGGGAGGGAAGAGCACACTGAAGCCAAGTGGCAGGCAGTAGACAGCGTGTGGGGCCAGGCAGGTCCTCCAGTTTGACTGCAGCCCAGAGGGTAAGCCAAGACCAGACTACAGCAGGCATGGGAGGCACTGGGAAGCCACTGCGAGTGTTGGGCAGGGCAGTGTTCTGGATTTTAGGAGATTTCTATGACTGAGTCCATTCTGGCCACTGTCACCAGCGCCCACCACCCTCAAATCCAGCCTGATACTGCTGGGCACACAGGGGCACAGAGGGCAGAGACTGTCTGGAGATTTTCAAAGCTTTTATGCACCATGTCCCTGCGGTGTGTGACTCACACAAGGAGAGGTGAGCCCAAGTTCATCTCCTTGGGATTCCCCAGAGCTCCCAGCTTCCCACTCCCACCTTTGGGGGTGGGGAAATGGCAGGCAGCTCAGCTTGGTTTGGCTAAGTAAGTGGATTCACACCTCTTCACTCTGATGGGTGTCATGCCATGCAGTGGGAGAAGGAAGCTGCTGAGTCTGGATGCCACCCACATCAGAGGCAGCATTCCACATCACCCAGTCCCTGCCACACATCCAGCTTTCTGCTGAGCCATATCTAAATACCCCGGCCCAGAGCTGGCTGTGACACCTGGCCCCCAGCCAATGTCTGGGCTCTGAGGCTCCCAAGGACACAGTTTCAGATTAGGGCCTTAACCTAGGTCAGGATTTCGTCCTCACGGGGTTCCTGGGCCCCTCTCCATTCTGCTCCCTCCCCCAACCTACACGGCAGGACATGGGGAGACCATAGGCTCTCGAAGTCAGCCGGAGAGGCAAGTGGGGGCACACCCTTGCTGACAGCAGGGCTGTTATCCAGGTGGTCAGAACCCTGAGTCCTCCAAACAACAGCTCTTTGCCCCAGGCCCAGGTGGGGCCTCTGTCCCTGCTGAGTGACCCAAGCCTGGCCAGACCGCAGCCCCAGCCCCAGGGGAGGCACACGAGCATTTTTCCTTCTCCAGTTTTGGATTTTGATGGAGAACAGATGTGCACACATCTGGCTCGGCAACCCCTCAGCCTCACCTTTCTGGTTCCCCAAATCCTCAGACAGAGCAGGGAGGCAGGGGATGGGCCCAGAGCCAGGAACAATAAGGGAGAAAGAGCCCTTGGTCCCACACAGGCAAGCAGTCCTCGGCAGCAGGTAGGGGGCACAGAAAGGCCCAGCCCCTCCACCAGGTGCCCAGACTAAACAAAGGTAGAAAGGGTGTGGGCAAAGGCAGCCAGGGATGGGCTGAGGCTGCCTCCCTCTCTCCCCACCCTCGCCTGGGCTGGCCTGAGCACTCTTGCTAAAGAGAACAGGACCTCCTCGTCCTTCCAGAGACTCTGAGACCATCCAAAGACAACAGGGCAGCATGTCTCCTCAGTGACCTACCCCCAGGCTTTCTTCCTCAGTTCTCTGCCTCTCCACAGCCCACGCCCAGTGTGCCCAGAGAACCTGACACTGGTAAACACCACACCCCAAATGGTCACCACCAAGACCACTAACCTCTTGAAGGCGAGCCAGCTTCCTTCAACTGCCCACCCCCCACTCCCCCATTCTGGCTACTGGCCAGATCTGCACCCAGGGAGCCACCCCAGACCTGCTGGATCTGAATCTGCAAGGAGGGGGCCCAGTAATCTGTATTTCTAATACATTACACAAGTGCTTTTTAGGTGACCAGCCTGGTCTGGGTCTCCCACCTCAAGCATTTTAATAGCAGGGCAAGGTTCTCATGTAACAGATGCGAAAACAAGCCCAGAGAGGCTGTGACTTGCTCAGGGTCACACAGCAAACAAGTGGCAGAGCTGGTCTCAGCAGCCCTTGTGCACCCCCAGCCACCACCAATTGGTAATCTCTGCCACATCCTACTGTGAGTACCCACAGAGCCTAGGACTCCACACTTACCCCTCGGGCTGGAGCTCGGTTCCGCCCTGGGGCTCATCGATGTACCAGCTGCCATAGGAGTAGTCATCCTCAGTCCCGGAGGAGGTCTGGTTCCCAGCTACCTGGGACGACATTCTCAGGCCCTTCTCCTTTGACCCCCAGACAAGAAGAAAAAAGCCACTACAGATGTGAAAAGAGGCTTAAAAGAAAAAAAAAAAAAAAGAAAGAAAACCCAAACAAAGAAACATTTCTCTTTAATCCTAAAGGTTACTTTCTTGCTTTTAGCTCTCTGGGAAAAACCCCTCAGGGAAGGAGGGCGTGGGCAGGCTGGCTGGAGGAGGGGAAAGGCCTCTCACGTCCCCTCCTGTCCTAATCTTGCCTGGTCCTGCAGTGATAGGTATCCCCTCGGGGATAGTGCACCTCCTCAGGGGCCCTGGGCTCTCAGGAGCATCTGTCTGTCTCGACAGCCATCAAGCAGGCTTTGGCTCAAAGGACCATTTTCAAAGATTTGCCTGGGCCGAGCTACCCACAAAGACCACTTCCTTCCTTCCCCCTCCTCAAGCCCACCGGACTGACCCACAGACACACCAGAAGGGAGGACAGGGAGGAAGGAGCTGCAGAGATGAAAGGGTGGGCGGGCTGCCCTCGGGCTCCACACAGTCTGCCTGGGCCCTCCCTCCTGGGCTCCCCGCCCCTCCTGCTCCCAGGGGTTCCAGTCCAAGCTCCCCCTTTGTTCAGGCTCCCTTGAGACCATCCCCAGCCTCAGCCTGCACCTCTCTGTCCCCTTTGGGCCTCAGTGTTGGGAACACACCATAATCCTTGACAAAACCCCCCTCCTGGGGAAGGAGGCCCCAGCTCCACTGACAGCCTGAGCCCCGGAGGGATGTGGCCAGGAGCGGCCCCCCAGCCCCCCGCACCTGATCGCACATACATACCTGCCTTCAGCACCTGCCCCAAAGCTCCCACACCTTTGCCTGCCACATCTGCAGTGCCCCACATGCGAGTCCAGCTTTACAGCCACCCCAGGAGACAGGCCACTGGAACTGGGCCGGGGGCAGAGGCAAGGAGGGGGAGCCAGTCCGTTCCTTCTCCTGGGGTTTCCATGGAGGAGGCAACATGTGTCTCACTGGTCAAACCTTTTTTGTTCCTACAGCTTGATTTCACAAGGAGATAACTCACCCCCACATGGTGGAAATTAGTCCTTTAAACACAAACCAGACCCACGGGTAGGCAAGAAGAGTCCCGCTGGCCTCCTGCTCCTCCCGAGGTGTGGGGTGAGGGTGAGGGTGCGGCCTGGGCAACAGCAGGGTCCCTCCCCTTCCTCCCTGCCCTGCGCAGCTGGACCCCTGGCAGGCTCCCCTCCCTCTCCCTGGCCCAGCCCGAGGGGCGACAAGATGCTGATGAAGGCACAGAGCAGTTCTCGGGCCACTCTCCCTGGGCAGAAGTTCAGGCCCCCTGAGACTTTTAGGGTCCTTTCAATATTCCACAGGGGTCTTGGGCCATGGCCCTACCCAGCTAAGGCATTCATTCAACAAGATTTTTTTTAAAAAGACGTTCATTCATTTATTCTTTTAACATACATTTATTGAACACCTACTATGGGCCAGCACTGTTCTGGGTCCTGGGATGTGAGAGATTGCAGTTTGGGGGGTGCACAGACAGGTAAGTAAATAACCTCAAGAGTCCGAGGGTTACAAAGATAAGGCACAGGGTGCTCTGGGGGTACCATGGGAAGTCGTATTTGGTCCGTGAGCATCGGGATGAAGGTGGGGGGAGATTCCTGAAGTAAATTTCAGTGGAGATGTGAAGGGCAGGGAAACATCAGCTGAGTGGAGGGTGGCGGTGATTGATGGTGGGATGGGGGGACATGTTCGTGATAAAGGAACAGCATGGGTGACATCTTAGAGTAGACAGGGCTCCTAAAGGCTCCCCCTCCAGATTCCTTAGTCAGGCCCACAAGGCGGGATTAGGGCCTTAGTTCCTCCCCCTTCTTCCCAGATGGCCCCTCTTCCAGGAACAGGGCTATGACTCCTCCTCCCCTGTCCCACAGGATGTCAGCGTCTGCTGACTCAGAGCTGAACCTGGACTTTATCTGATGCAATGCAGGAGCACACGCTGGCCCATCTGATCCCAGGGATTCGGGCTGAACCCTGCCTCCCAGGCCTGGGTGGAGCTCCCTGAGGCCAGAACTCTGCCTCTTCTTCCCACCTTCTCCCTCCTGCCCCTGACACACAGGGCCTGGTCCTGGGATCCTGGGATCAGAGGGACTTTGGAAGTTGAGTGACCATCGTCATCCATGGGCCTGTCCCATGCAGTCTGCTGCTGTGTCCTGGGGCTCACTAGCTGGGCTTTTCAGATCCCCCTGCTCCCACACCAGAACCAGGCAGTCCCCTTCCTGCTCAAGGGTTTCAGACCCTCAGCTTAGGGAGCTACCAACTCCTGTCTGATTTTAAATCCCCCCCCATGATACCTCCGAAAATTGGAGACCAGTCCCAGACAAGGAGCTCACTCCCCCTGCAATGCTGAGATGACAACCATGAACATCTCCACCTGTCAGAAACCACATCCTTCCTTGGGGGGATCCTGACTCTGCCTCCTCCCAAGCTGGTGCATTCATTCATTCACTCATCCAACAAATATTTCTTGTACGCTGACTATGTGCCAGGCAAAGTCCGTGTGCTGACAGTGCAGCAAGTCAGCAAGATAGATAACGTCCTGCACTTCAAGAAACTTAACGCATAGTGCAGGTTGGGGGAGACCAAACAAGTGCCATGAGGCAGAGGGTAAGCTGGAGGAAGAGCAGAGAGCGGACCAACAGGCAGCACGGTCAGGGGAGAAGGCCTCACTGATGAGGTGGTATTTGCCAGGTACCTGAAGAGAGAGAGGGAGGTACCCAAATGGGCACCGAGCAGAGGCATTCAGGCTGCCTACAGGAGCCTCCATCAGCCACAGGGGCCACAGCCGGGCCAGCAGAAGGGGGCCCCCGGCCAAGCCCAGGCGCAGTCCCTTCCCTACAGCACCCCCTCCCTGGACCAAATCGTGCTCCACCACCAAAGGGACTTCCTGTGGATACTGTCTCCCACCACTCCAGGGATAGCCCAGTACCGGTGATACCACCCCCTCACTGGTGAGATGCAGAAGCCACCTTCAGGGGGGCCCTAAACAGAGGGGAGCTTTGTCCCTCTCCCATGGTGTGGGCCCAGCAAACAGAGGGCAGCCTTGTGCCCGGGACGTTGGTTAGGGCAGGGCTGGGAAAGGGAAGGAGCAGGTGCAGAAGGTCAGGGCAGGGTTTCTCACATGGCTGTGGAAAAGGCTTGGTTAGAGAGGCAGCCTATCTTGGTTTGAGCCCTGGGGCTGGCTGTGTGACACTGAGTGTGTTGCTTCCCCTTTCTGGGTCTTGGCCCTGCCTTTGTCAAATCCAGCCTGGAAAGTCTTCAATTGTGGGCTCTCCTCTCCCCATGGCCCCCACTTCATGCCCTCGGTGACTTCATGGCCCAAGAATGTGGAACCAGCACACCAGCCACTGGTTGTAGCCAGAAGGCTAGAGCCACAGAGAGAGGCTGTGACTGAGTAGGTGTTCCCATGGCTTCCACCTACCCTCCTGGCCCCCAGCTCTCCCAACCACGGTGGTGGGGGCAGGAGGGCACGCTGGGTGGCCACATGGCTCAAGCTGGAAGGCAGACCCCATTTTCTTGATGGGGCTAGAATAGCTTTGAGCTCCATCTGCGAAATGAGACGATTAGCTCAGAGATGTTAGGAAGGATGCCACCTGGCCAGACAGCCAGCTGGCAAGGAGAAGCACTGGGAAGAGAAACATGGTCATGATGTGCCCTTACAGAATGTCTCCAAAGGCCTAGGCAGCAGAGTCCAGGGCCCCCTCTGGAGCTGGCTTTACAGGAGCGCTCATACCCAGAAGAGTCAGAGGCCATCCCCCACAATCAGGAGGCGAGGGGCTGGACAGGAGAGGTACTTGGGAGATGGAACTGCAGAAGCTCAGAGGGAAGGAAGGTGGGGAGAGTGGTGGTGAAGAGATGGCCTGAGCAGTCTTAGAGACTTCCTGGAGGAGGGGGCCTGGAACAGTCCAGAGAGGGTCAGGAAATGTAGCAAGAATAAGGTATAAGTGTCTTAGGAAAGCTGAGAAGGGGCACCTGGGAAGCAGAGAGAGGCAGGCAGGGGTCCAGCAGGCCTGCCTAGCTTTGGCCTGCATAAGCCCCTGTGGGCACATTCAGATGGGGCTGATGCCAATATCCAAGAAGCAGCCCAGGCCAGCAGGCTTCCTAGCTGGGCACAGATTGGGGGTGGCCAGGCCCTGCTCACTGTGGGAGGGGGCACTAAAAAGCTTCAGGACTCAGCCAATGAAGGTCATCTGCACATGGGCCATGCCTTGTCCCTCAGGCTGGAGCTGGCCCATGACGGCCTGAGGACAAGGTTTCTTTCCTCCTCCTGTTTTTGTTCAAGTTGATTAAACCTGAGGAATTTTTGCATCCAGGGACAGAGGGCCACATGCGTGCCCTCAGCAGCCTGTGGTTATCAAAAATCCCCAAAGGGCAAAGTGCTAAGCTCACCAGGAGGTGACAGACCGGGAGGAGAGGGAAGGCCGGCAGTGTCCTCAGGACCCCAGAAATACCCCCTGGGGCTCCCAGATGGTTCAGAGCATCTCCAGAATCTCAGCAACATTCCCAGAATTTTAGTAACACCACAAGAACCTCCAAAACCTCAGTATTGCCCCCAAGAACCCCCAGAACTTTAGTAACACACCAGAACCACCCAAATACCTCAGAAGCCTCAGACTCTGGCAAATCAAGTCCAAGCTGGAGCAAATGGTCAAGAGCCTGGGGAGCAGCTGCAGGAAGCTCAGAAACCCCCCATGCTCTCCCCCTCCCATCCCAGCTCTTGGCTCTGAGTCCAGCAGCACACCCAAAAGGCCTGCAAAACCAAACCTCAGCAACACCCCCGATCCCCACAGAACAGCAGAGAATGCCCAAGGGAATGCTTCAGTCCCGGAATGAGGGGTAGCCAATGTGCCTGCCCGTGCAGTGCCCCTGTCCCCAAAAAGCCCATGGGTAAGTGGCCAAGGCAGATTCAACCGCATGCAGGCCTGTGAGCTCAGGGTCTGCTCCCAGCACACACAGGTGCCTAACTCTGGCCCAAGACCAAATGTGACCCCACGCAGTGGGCTGGAAAGGAGTGCTGTTGGCTGCCAAGCTCCCGAGGGGAAGAGAGTGAATATCTTTTACCTCCTCCCTCCCCTGCCACGTGGGAGGGTCAGAAGCATCGTCTGATAGCCCCTTGCCAGCATTCTCACGCCCCCTCACCAATAGCATCACCAGAGCATGAGGGATAGAGGCTGGATGCTCTGGTGTGCATGTGGACGCTGGTGGGGAGTTGGAGAAAGGCAGCGGGCTGTTCCAGGAGAGCAGCGTGTTCTTCCCCTCCCAGACGGCCAGGCTAGAACTGACTAGGAGGAGGGAAGGTGGGGGGCAGATTGCAGCTTGGGACAAAGGTAGCTTTCTTACTCTCATGGAGTAGTGAGCTCCTCATCAGGGGAGGCAATCAAGAAGAGGCTGGTGACGAGACTCTAGAGGATTTTCTGCCTTTAGATGAGGACTGGTCAAAAGGTCATGAAGATTCATCAGCTATAAGACCCCCAGATTCTCCCTTCTCAGCACGTCCTCCCTGGGTAGTGCCACCATGGTCTGGCTTTGAGATGAAGGCTTCATGCTGCCCTCCTGCCTCATTAAGGACACTGATTGCTGGGAAGATCCCCTGAGTTCTCTCTCCTTGTTCCCCTCCTGACCACAGGACAGGGCTCTCCATCAGCCTCTTCCCACATGCAGCCAGACCCTGCTCACACATGACTCTTCCGACATATCCCTGCCCTCTAGACCTGCCACTAGCTCCCCAGTGTCCCTTGAGGACAGCCATCCCTGTGTCTCCAGCCTTATCCCTCAGAATCACTCAGCCCTACCAAGCCCACCACTTTCCTGCCACCAAGCCCTGGTTCATGCTCTATTTCCATGCCCTCCTCCCTCTCCACCACATGTGCCTTCT